GGGTGTGGATGGGTTAAATGCAGAGCACAATTTCATCATTGTGTGGAAACACACACTGATGACAAATAAAGCACCTTTACCTTTATAAATCACAATGGCAGCTCTAGGACAAAGTATGCAGGAGGAGAAGCATGGCAAATTTGAGATGACTTGGATGGGAAACAAATCACAATAGTGTGCATTGCCAATGCAATGCACACTGATAAATACATTTCCTGCAAAACAASAAGTTCACAATCAATGAGCCATGTTTAAAATCACAGCTAGAAACTACATGTAGCAAAACAGTCGATCAGTCACAATCATAGTCCTGATCACATGATCACACAATCTTTATTTATTTATTTTTTATTGATCTTTATAGGGTGTTGTTGTGTCTGCTCAGTGGTGAATAAATCCACATGCCCACCAATCCAAAAAAACTTGATCACACGTTCACATGATGACACAGTAACATGATGATATGGTCACATGATCCCAGGGAATGTAATTTCCCTGAGGGACCCCTTCCAATGGATCAATAAAGTCCTATCTAATCTAATCTAATCTAATCTAATCTAATGATCAGATGGTCACATGGTCACACAGTGAGTTCCTCTGCGTGGTTTTCAGGGATGAGAGGAACCAGTCCATTATCGTGAGCGGAGAGTCCGGAGCAGGAAAAACTGTTTCAGCCAAATATGCCATGAGGTTCTTCGCCACTGTGGGCGGCTCGGCCAATGACGCCAACGTGGAGGACAAAGTTCTGGCCTCCAACCCTATTATGGAGGTCAGTGTGTGGAGCCTAAAGTCCAGCGACCTGTGACCTCTCTTAGACATTCTTTCCATAAAGTTCTGACCCATCTTCTCCTTTTCCCCATCAGGCCATCGGGAACGCTAAAACCACCCGGAACGACAACAGCAGTCGCTTTGGGAAGTACATCCAGATCATCTTCAGCCGTCACTACCACATCATCGGGGCCAGCATGAGAACCTATCTGCTGGAGAAGTCCCGGGTTGTCTTCCAGGTGAGTCCTGTTCCCTGGTCACCATCCTGACCTGGTTCTGCCCTGTTACCCGTCTGCCTCAGCTGATGGTTTGGGTTTGGTTTCCAGGCTGAGGATGAGAGGAATTATCACATCTTCTACCAGCTGTGTGCCTCGGCCAGTTTACCAGAGTTTAAGGAGCTCGGTCTCAGTGAGTCCACCTGTCTGTCCACCTGTCTGTCCACCTGTCTGTCCACCTGTCTGTCCACCTGTCCACCTGTCTGTCCACCTGTCTGTCCACCTGTCCACCTGTCTGTCCACCTGTCTGTCCACCTGTCCACCTGTCCACCTGTCTGTCCACCTGTCCACCTGTCCACCTG